GTGGATCTTCTACCCGTCTGGAACGAGGTGTCTACGAAAATCTAACTTTTTTTTGTGCGGGTGATGCGCCCACACGTGAAAATCTGTAGGCGCTTAAGCCACTTGCACGGAAAAATAAAAAATGAAAAGCCGCCCTGGAAGCCTAATCCAGCCGCCGCCGCCGCCACCACCACAGTCGTCGTCGCCGTCACCACCATCGTCGTCGCCGATTTGCCTGAGGCCCACTGTTGTTGTCCCCACGGTCGCCGCTGCCGGATCTGACCTCCCCGCTGTGGCAGGCGACAGATCCGGCCTCCCCGCAGTAGCCGGTGACGGATCCGCTCCTCCGCCACCACCCTAGCCGATGCCGCCGCCGCACTCGTCGATGCCGCCGCCATTCGCTGCCCTAGCCGAGGCCGCCGCCGTCGCAGGGATTGGGAAATGGGAGGAGGGGGAGGAGAAGAGGGATAAGGATAGGCGACGGATCTGAGAGGCTGTGTGAGTGTGGCTGTGTGGGCGGCGACGACGGGATTAAAAATGTGGGTGGGCTATTTTTATGTGTGGGTCAATTAACATGTCCGATCTGCATAAGAAAATAAGCATATTTTTGTGTGCAGACCTGTTAAGTGGCCTGCCTACGAAAATTGATTTTTCCATATGGTCTTTTAAAGAGCTGTACACGAAAATGGTGTACGATTTTTACAGACGCGACCACTTACGGTCCGTCTGCAATCTAAAATTAGTCTCGTCCAGGAAAATCATTTCTGTACTAGTGTTTGAAAAATTTGAGTATTAATATTCTTTTTAGATAATACTTATAGATGAAATGCGTAAAACCATATCCAAGATTTTCAAAAGTACTTTTAATTTTATAATTTAAGTAGGATTTATAAGACTTTTACGATAAAAAAATAGTAGTGCAGCGTACGCTGAGCTTGCCCAGCACTGGATTCTATGTACAATATTATCATATGCTTGAATTTGTTGGATTCATGCATGATGCACACAGCATCGATGCGATGTTCGAGATTCTGATGTTTCTTTTCTCCTCGAGGGTACGTATCTGGTTCTGGTTCTCCACCGGGATAGGTGGCTGATGGAGAAAATGGCCAAAAAAAAATGCGACTGTGCAACCACGGCGGGAAGTGTGGGAAGATGGTTTTCTTTCTGGCACCGTATCTGGTGCAACCAGGGTTGCTGTGCAACCTTAAAAACTCCCAATCAAAACCACAGGATGCTCATCCGATGGCTAGTGGTAAAGGTGGGTTACTTTTGCACTTAACCGCCCGCACTCATGCGATGCTAACCTCATGTTTTACAAATCCCCCTCATCGCCGCTCGCCGCCACGGCCGCACCCTCGCCCGTGCGCCTCCACGACTCCATCCAGCCACGCGCTGCCGGCCCTGCCACGGCTCAGCGGCAGCAGCAGGTACGGACCGGCGCCTCTATTCTTGTTCTTGGAGGTTCGGACCGGGCGGCGAGACCCTGTGCTTTTCCAGCGCTGACGAGCAGTGGACGGATGTGCAGCTTCTGATCCACGCCCGTGCAGGTGCAGCGTTGGAACGCAACAACATTCCAGGCAACCAGGCACTACACGTTTTCTGGCCTGCCAATCAAGATTTGTAAACTAGTGTTTCCAATTTAGTTACAGAAAATAGTAGCAAGATTTACCAACTGAGATTGACACTCTGAAACTCTAAAAGATTGTGACTGCAAATATGCAATGGAATTGTGTTCTATCATTTGATAATGAGATTGAGTCAAGTGGAACCATAAAATTTTCAGGATGACAGATGAACTGTGCTAGAGCACAACAGCTTGATACAAGTTCAGTTTCATGTATTGTCATATATTGATGGAAAACATGTCTCAGATAAGAAACTCTTGTTGCAGTTCAGATTTTGGCAGCATCTGCCGGACTCCATGGCGGCAGCGGTGTGACGGAACTCCATGGCGGCAGCGGCGCGTTCTGCACCGTGACCTTAGAACGGACGGGTTTGCGACACCCTCACTGACATGGCGGCGGCGGCGCGGCGAAGGGGCGCCGGCGAGTCACGGGCGGGCGGCGGCGAATCTGCAGAAATGAAACGGCGCGGGGCGGACAGGCGGATGGATGCTGGGATTGGGGGGATTTGCAAAAAAACAGATTAGCAGAGCTAAGGGCAGGTGGTTAAGTGCAAAATTAGCCTATCTCTATCCCTAGCTATTGGATGAGCATCCTGTGGTATTGATTGAGAGTTTCTAAGGTTGCACAACAACCCTGGTTTTCACCTGATACGGTGCCTTTCTTCTTCGTGCTAAGTAGGTTTGACTGCGCGCGCTTCAGGAGAGACCGTGGATCAGGTGTAATGGACTAATGGCAAAACAACAAACCTTTTTATGGAGGTCATGATGAAGTATTTATATATGAATATAATTAATGGTAAAAATGAACACATATATTAATTATTGTGTTAATTAAGTAAATTTCACATTAGACCACATTTTATTACCGATATTTTGTTTTGGACTATCTTTTAACCGATGTTTTCACTTTAGACAAGATAATCTTACTTTTGTGACACTTTACTTTTTTACTCATCTACATCCAACTTATTATATGTCATAGAAATGTGTAAAAGTTTATTGATGAGTAGGAGCCGGCTTTATATGCTTAAGTAGAGAGTCGTAGTTGTTCAAAGTGTAGCAAAAGGTAAAATTATCAGGTCCAAAATGAAAACATGGGTTAAAGGATGGTATAAAGCGAAACTTCGATGATAAAATATGACCCAAAGTGAAATTTACTTAGCGTATAATTTCTATAGTATTACTCAGACTCTGTTTAGATGGGACTAAGACTTTTAAGTCCCTATCACATCGGAAGTTTGGGCACTAATTATAAATATTAAACGTAGACTATTAATAAAACCCATCCATAATCTTGGACTAATTCGCGAGACGAATCTATTGAGCCTAATTAATCCATGATTAGCCTATATGATGCTACAGTAAACATTATCTAATTATGGATTAATTAGGCTTAAAAAATTTGTCTCGCGAATTAGCTTTCATTTATATAATTAGTTTTGTAAGTAGTCTATATTTAATACTCTAAATTAGTGTCTAAATATAGGGACTAAAGTTAAGTCCCTGGATCCAAACACCACCTCTATAATCAGGGATGTTACTGTAGACGCACGTTCTCCTCCATAGCTCAACCATATGGGTACGAACAATGTAGTCAATGCTAGATTTTATGTGTGGCGGATAGGTCACTCCCAAACTAAATTGTCTTTGTTTCCCAACTATGCAAATTCGGACCAATTACATATTAGAAAGTATAACTTTCGGCCTCTACACTAACTAACTAAGGATGTGTTCGTTTTCCAGAGTGAGAACTATATCCTGCGCACGGAAAACGGAGCAATCTAGTAGCGCGTGACTAAGTATTAGCTTTTCTTTTTATTTCAAAAATGAATCAATATGTTTTTTTAATCAACTTTCATATTAAAAATTTTTTAAAAAAACGTACCGTTTAGCAGTTTGAAAAGCGTGCGCGTGGAAAACGAGGAGAGAGGTTGGGAACCTTAGAAACGAACTCAACCTAAGGATGCACACAACCTTGATCTCTCCAGTTTACGGGCCCCTTTGAAACAAAAGAAAATCTTTAGGAATTTTAGATGATTTTATCCATCGAAGTCATTTGAAAAAAAAAGGATTGTTTTCTACCCATTGCTTTGATATTCCTATGAAATGGACCATTTTAGAGCAATTACAAAGGAAAATAAGCATGAGGTATCATGTCATATTTTTCTCTTCATATGTCTAAAATTTATGCGTGTATCCTCTGTGCTTATCTGTGCTAATCAGACAGTTATAAAACTTTCCATTATGTTTCTCAATCCTGCAGTTTTAAAGGTGCCCTAAAATCAGCAGCCCAGCGCAGCAAAAGAAATTAACAAGTCATATCATTCTAGTCCAGGTCTATTTGGATACAGGGACTAAATTTAATCCATGTAACATCAGAAGTATTAAATATAGACTAATAAAAAATCCATTCCATAACTCTGGACTAATTCGCGAGATGAATCTATTAAGCCTAATTAATTCATGATTAGCCATGTGATGCTACAATAAATATGTGCTAATTATGGATTAATTAGGCTTAAAAATTGTCTCGCGAATGAGCTCTCATTTATGCAATTAGTTTTATTATTAGTCTACATTTAATACTTCTAATTAGCGTCCAAACATCTGATGTGACAGAGACTAAAATTTAGTCCATGGATCCAAACATACCTGAGTTGTTCTCTCTCTAGTTGAGGCAGGAAAGACTATCGAATTAAACTAGGCGATATCCCGCGCTTTACTACGGGATTAATGGATGAGTATATGTTAAATATAATTAAAATTATGAAAGTTGAAATGTTGAGAAAATAATTTGCCACATACTTATTGATGATGTGTCATGATTGCATGGGATTTAAAATAGGCTAGAATAGTAGTTGCTATCATGTGAAGAAATGGTATGCTTGCATGGGGTTTTAAATGAGCTAGAATAATAATTTCTAGTGGGTGATAATGTGACATGCTTAAATGTTGAGGTTTAGCTTCTAATAATTTTTAGTGAGTATCAACTATATAGAAAGTATAGATAAATATTCTTCATGCCACATAATTGGCTGCTCCTTTAGGGCACTCAGCGCAACCATCGAGTATGAGGTACCACAGGCTGCCACCTAGAATGAAGAGTTTCAAAGACACTCTCTTCACACTGCAAGCATCGATTAGTGGGACCATAAATACTCCCTCCGATTTTTAATAGATAACGTCATTGACTTTTTCTCACATATTTGACCATTCGTCTTGTTCAAAAATATTATGTAAATGTATAAGATATAAATTACACTTAAAGTACTATGTGTGATAAAACAACTCATAACAAAATAAATTATAATTACGTAAATTTTTTGAATAAGATGAATGGTCAAACATGTGAGAAAAAGTCAACGGCGTTATCTATTTAAAAAACAGAGGGAGTATCTGCCTCTCCAAATCCCCAAATCCTCCTCCCTCATCAGTCGTCACGCCCACCACCCCACCAAATCCTCCCTTCGTCATGCCCGGCGCCGGCTCTCCCCTCCTCCCTTGCCGGCGTCCTCCCCTCCTCCCTCCGCCAGCGCGCTTCAATGAATGCACGGCGGAGTGGCCAGCGAGCTCTCGGCGGCGCGGATGGAGGCTGGGTGTGGCCGACGAGCTCCCCGCAGCAGGCCTCAACGCCGGCGCAGATGGCGATGAGCTCGGGGCGGATCTGGCGGCTTCGACGCCTCCTCACCGGCATGGGCTCGGCCGGCGTCTCCCTCCTCCCTCTGCCGGCATGAGCTCAGCCGGCGTCCCTCTCCTCCCTCCGCCGGCACCAGCTGGCCTCTTCCCCACCTCAGCCACCTCCTCGGGGCCGAGCAGCGCCGGCTCTCCTCTCCTCCCTTCACCGGCGGCGGCGCGGATCTGGGCCCATCCTCCCTCGGCCAACGACGAGCCGCTTGTGGTCGTCGTCTTCCTCGCTTCGTCTCCACTTCCGGCTGGCGACAAGGTTTTGGAGGCGGCGGCGCGGAGCGGAGCACGGGAACGACGACGAGGTCGGCGACGCGGAGCGGGAGGGCGCGAGGTGACAGCGAGTCGGAGGCACGCCCTCCACAATGCAGGTTCCAGCCGTTTCTCCGCCACGCGTGGTCTTGCGCTAGCGAGAAATCGCGCTTCCCTGTGTGGGGGCGAGGAGCTCTGGTGGGGCGCGCGACCTAGCGCCACGCACGCGCAAATCCGAGCTGGCGACGTGAGGTAACGCTCCACGTCACCGCACTGTGAAAGGCCTTAGAACAAATTGTGAAGATGCACTGAACATCAAAAGTGTGTAAATAAAATGTTATTTCCATTGAACTTCTAAAAAGTTAAAATATCCCAAACATATCATATGGATCACATATAGGATAGAAAAAAAAACTAATTTAAGTCTTGGGAAGAAGAAATACGAGCTCCGATCGATGAATGGACAAGTTTAGGGTGGCCGTGGTCCTTTCTCAACATTGTGTGGTGGTGATCATGTAAGCGTGTGGTGTGGTACGTAGTACAGCCGGGCTGAGTTTTACGGACTCCAAGAAATTTATGTTTTATTCAAGCTAATTCATTTCAACATGTTTCAACACCTCCAACTCTCTATTTCTTTCAAGTTTTCTTCCTCCTCCATTGATTCTTGGCTGGAACGAGTTTGTTCCCCTCCCCTGGATAGTGTTTGATAATAATTATGACGATTATGTCAATGCATGTTTCATAAAACTGAAGAATTCACATATTTACTTCCTTCAGAGATTTACTTAAGTAGAGCGCCATCTCTCTAGCACTCTAAACTTCCTCTGTCATCCATGTGTTTATCTTGTGTTTTCCTGTATAGCTCCAACTATCGTTGGTCAGCACAGGCCCCACTCGTTTTCCTAAAGGACCCATAGATAGAAAGACAGCATTAGATTGATCTTTAACTATCCTGATGTGAATAGAGGCCTAGAGGGCCATCGGCCATGACATGGATCAAACAAAGTGTAGTAGTTGGAGACATGGTTTAATTGAAAAAGTAGGTTTATCTTTGCTCCATTGTATATCTTTGGTCGATATACATAGACCAAAGTGAATTTTAATTTACTCTTTCCCTCGTGCATATTTTTCTCCTAAGGTTTTATCGATTGGTTTGTGTTGATGCGAAAAACACATACTGGCCTGGAAGATCTGCTTAACTTCAGTGCAGGTCCAAAATCTTGCCTTTAGGTTCGTGAGCGTGCCAGTTGATTTGATCCTGCAATCAACAAGAAATAAAAGACAAAAAGAATCGTGGTTAAATCCATAAACGATAGCCGATCAGTCAGCCGCCGATGACATATCATTTATTTTTAAGCCGATGTTATATATGAATCGATCGGCAGAGGTAAATAAGCAAGGTAAGACTAAATCTATTCGATCGGCTGTAGATATTAATGCTATATAGTCTTTCTATCGATGTATATTTAAACTAAGTGATTGTGATAGATCGGTCACCATACCGAGACAGTATAAATCACTTAGATCGAAATATACATTAACATGAAGATTATAAACGCTTATAACATAGCCGATCAGATAGATCTAGCATGTATGGGCTAGTACTCTGATATTACTCTATGTTAAGATATTAAAACAGATAGAATATATCAAACAGAAGCCTAATATAATTTATTGTGATAAGATCTTAACATAAAGGACAGATTTAGCATATCAATTGAGCATATAGTACATAAGGCTAAATCAGGTAAGGTCGGCTGAAACCCCGATTCTATCTCTATTGATGATCATAAAACAAGCCAGATATCACAATTATAAATACTACTTAATAGATCGAACTCAACCGATGCAGCATTAAGCATAAAGATAAGCATGAAATCTAAGCAGGATGAAAATATACAAGAGATGGTAGATACACGATACAATCTAGATTAATAACAAAACATAACTCTACCATTTGTTTCCTAACAATAAGGACCAGCCGATAACAAGTTATATAGCGCTACTAACATGGATTGCAACATGTATATGATAGCTCGACGAATTAAAACAGGGTTAAAGTATCATAAAGATGGAAGCATTAACCCCAATAACACAAGCCGCCATAACAAGCTTTACCTCTAGTTGAAGATTGAAATCGATGCAGCTCAACCCGAAAGTAAGAACAACTCGTCGAAATAAACGAAAGTAAAAAGGGTGACGATGCACCGAGATTGTATTGAACGACTGTTAATTGATTACATGGGTTCGGGTTCTATTTATATCCGAGATGCAAGATATGTCATTGCCGGACATGATATTTATCTCTAACAAACTCTAAGATACCATAAATCTTCGTGGCAGACTTTTTCCCAAACATATCTCTAAGGAAATATAATGAAATATCCTAATTTAATAGATACAATTGCCTATCCAAGAGATTTATCTCTATCGCGGCAATCCACGTGAAGCACCTTTATCGATTCTAAAAGCATTTTTGAAATCATCATCATCGGAATCGGCTGCATCACCTCTATTGGCTGTCCTCTGTCCGATCCATCTCAGCCGATGCATACTCTGTTCTTTGAATCGATTTCTTTCTCGAATCCGCCTTGATCCCAATATCGAATCTGGTTCAAAATTTACCAAATTTAGTCGTCAACAGTTTGTTGATATAAATTTCAAAGGAATTTGTAGATATCAATCTCTTATTCTAAAGGGCTCTTACTTTTTTCATAAGATCAAATCCTTCGAGATCCCTTCTTTTACTTTGTTCCAAAGTAGGCACTAGTGTGTGGCCCAAAGATTTGGCCCCGTAGTGTGTTGGTGGTCGGGTGAGGCTCCTCTGATGTATTTTAGAGGGATATGTACTGACGTGTGGCCCATGATGGTTGGCCCCACTAGTCAGGGACCCATGTCTCACTTTATGTCAGAGGAGCTTGGTCAGTTGGTGGTTCGTGTTGTTTGTAGCAATCTATAAAATAATTCCAGTAGAACAAATTATTTTTAAGCGTGAGCTTTCATTATTTTTTTTAGAGGGGGTGAGCTTTCAAATTTAATACTACATATTTCACTTTTAAGGTTTTTTAAGTAGATATACAGCAACTATTTATAATTTTTATACCTTGATCCTCCTCCCTTATAAGAGGCAGCTTATATGGATACGACACCAAGGTTCAAATTTTAGTGCACAAGTATTATGTACACACGAGCATGTTTTTAATTGAAAATTAGTGAGACCAAGGATTTATTGCTGGCCTACGTCCCTTTTAACATGTATCAGGGTGAGGGTATATATTTGCGGGTGTGTTAATGTAGAGCTTGTTCGACACAGCTCTAACTTCAACTCCATCTCTTTTAGGGCTGGAGCTCAACCAAACGGTTTCAGCTCCACCCAATAAGGGAGTGGAGCTAACTGAAGTGCTCTCACAAAATGAAGTATAGAGGTGAAGCTGGATTTAGACTGCTCCATAACTCCACCCCACCCAAACCTAACTCCTGAAATTAAATTTAGGGGTTAGAGCCCTACCAAATGGGCCCATAGTAGGCATTTATGGTTGTGTGTGCACATGTGTCTTGTAGTCGCAGGTAAGGCATGGATACGGAAGCAAACACCATGACTTTGTGCAATTGGTAGTTGAATCACTGATATGTAGACCCTACTTTATTATGCTCCATATGTTAGTAGCAGCTGTAAACTGTACGAAGTCAGAGAAGCCTTATCTCACATACACACATTAAGCTTGAAATAGATGTATCTCGTAGAAAATCACAATAATCTAGGCTGTTTGGTATTACTTGGTTTGGATCGTTACCGTTATTAAAAATTTAAGTAGCCAAAACTTTAGTATTGCTAAGTTTGGATGTAACGTACTTTGATTTCAATATCTATAAATGGATATTGCAAAATTATGATAATAGAGAATTCCAAGCATGTTCGGTTTGATAAAGAGAGAACGGCTCCGAGCCACCGACTAGCAATTTCTACGTGTCCCAAGGACTGAAAAGGTCGCTGCTGGGAAATTCCCTGTTCTTGTATAAACGAGAGCCGAACAACCGAGTGGAACACATATGATCATTGAGCTAAAATCTTCTTCCGGATGTGCCGAACCATCCACTTCTGGCATAATTTATCCTTGCTATTTTGTTGCCAATGCTCGTTGCGTTGCAAAGAACCGGGATACCACAACTATATGTACATCGATTTGGAGAAAAATGAAATAGGACGGCTATACATATATATCTACCTCCATCAGTTCCTAAGTGACATTTTAGACAAAAGGGACAGAATTTTACAGTTCGGGGCCATTCATGAGCTTCAGGTGCTGCAGCTAAAAACTAAAGCAGCAAAATTTCTTTAATGAGCTTTTCACTATTAGTGCGCCTTCCACAAGTTGTGCAAGTTATGCAGCACATAATCGGAGGACTGCTAAGCTCAGCAAAGACGCACATTTCGCTTAACAAATGGCATCACCACATGCAGTTCAAATAATGATGTTGGTGCCTCCTGTTGAACTCTATGAGGCCACCGTATGTTGGATCTGCTATGCCAACGTACAAGGCCTCGGCGTCTGGGCTGAATGACAATCCAGCAATCTCTCCAAACAAGTCAATCTCGTGAGATCTGCCATAGTCTGCATATGAATCGTAGATATGGACGAAATCCACAGGTTCTGCAGTAGCCAAGAACCGCCCGTCTGAAGAGAACTTGATGCAACGTATCGAGCCCATCCTTCCGCCAAGTACAGCCACAGACTCTGATAGGTTTCTAATGTCCCACAGCCGACAGGTTGTATCTTGACTGCCGGTAGCCAAGATATTGCCATCAGGATGCCAGGCAGATGCGAAAGAGTAATCCAAGTGACCCTTAAGTGCACCGATTGCCTAAAGCAAGAGAAGCAATTACAGATTAAGATAAAAAAAATCAGAAGCCGCTACAACCTCACACATTGGGTCAAAATAGTCATGCACTTACCTTGCCACACTTGGGATCCACTACCAAGCCATCCTCATGGTCCCCAAGGACAGCAAACAGTCCCCCTTTTGGGCTCACCGAAACGCTCTGATTGAAAACTAAAATCTGAGACTTGGGAGACAAAAGAAGGCACATAACCAAGGGGATAAACAAGTATAGAGAGGCTACTTACATTCACAGACCATGGGAAGACATAGTGCTTCAGCAAATCAAAGTACTCAATGTCAAAAATTCTGACAGAGCAGTCATTGTTAGCAGCCACCAACCGTCTAGATCCACTGAAAATATCAAAACATACATTTGTTAAGAGTTGTTACAAGGCCTGGAAGTAAAAACATGCTAACTCCAAAAGCAACAAGTCTTACGTGGGATCCTGATATATCTCCAAAGAGTTGGTAATAGCATTCTCATCATCTGTAACTCTTGTGCTGAAAAGAACTCCATCATCTTCCAGGCGCTATTAAAAACCAAAGAATTTTGTCAGTTTGCAAGTTACTAGATGAAATTGCAAAGTTTAAGTATATGTTTTTCTATGAAGATACCTTGCATATAAGCTCCCCCTGAAAACCACCAATTACCAATAAACTATCATCTACAGCCATAGTTGTGACCTGGACCATTGCAACGGACTGTGAACCATGCCCTCTCTGTCCACAAAGAAGATAATTTTGCAAGTTAGGGACCAACGAGATGATGAGTCAACAACAATGAGAGCTAAGGCTATGGATGGAGTAGGTACCTGTTTTGGTATAATGCAGTCATCCGCATTGATTAGCTCAGTACTTGTCTGGTCCAATGATGACCAATGTGTCACTGATTGGTTGTGCACCGTGTAAACATCATGCTTGGTTGTTGCCCAGACCAGATTCCTTAACTGAAAACTTAAAATCAGAACTAGAAACCACATCCATTTATCTATGCAGGAACTATTCTGTCTTATATTGAGATCTATGAGTAGATCTAGTGTTCCTTGATGACATAAAAGTAGCAAATTGATGTATTTTGATGCATGCATGTATAGAAGAATGATATCACATCTAGCATGTTGGACGTTCAACACTTAGTCCATCCATCTTTTAACAGTAAAATAAAGTTGTTCCTTCGATATCTTGTCTTGTGTGTCATTTCAGCAAAAGTTATGCCACTTGCCGAAATAACTATTAAAATGTTAATTATTGGGAGTTCACTATATTGATGGTAAAACTTTTCACAGATATATTGTAACTCTTAACAACTACCTGCAACTTCTTTTCCATCAATTCCTATTAGGACCTATATGATCTCTACAAGCCAGATATTTTGAAAAGGTTTATCATTTACTGCTATGACCAAGTAGTACCAAAGGACAACATGGCTGGTCAAGTTCAAATAAGATCAACCGTAGCATAACTGAGCTACAGATATTGGAATGTCAACAGAGTGATTACAAACCTGAAAATGTACAATTGATGGGCGAGCACGCCTTGTATTGTACTGGAAATCGTAGTAAGGACTATCCTTTTCAACTTTCTTGCAGTCCTGTATAACATAAACAGGAAGAGATTTTAAGAAGCTGACTGACAAGCAAATGATGATATAAATTATTTTTCAGGATTTGACTGTACTGTGAATTTCCAACAGTAGGCGCTGGACTGTAACCATAACAATAAAGTTAGTAAACAAAGACTAAGGACTTGTGGAGAAGTTCCGTTAACACATTATATGAGCTCATGCAACAACCTATGGTTGGTGTGCTACTACACAAAGGCTTTTGAAAATTGGTTCCCTACATATATCATATGAAATTAATTGGATATAAACACAGCTATCTTCCTGTCCCTAAACAACAGCAAACAATAGAAACAACTTTCCTCCTCAGTCCCTAAGAATTAATTGTTTCCACAGAAAGTTGCATGTAGTTACAGTTACACATTAAGGTGCAAAGAAACTTGCAGCAAAACCAAAAAAAAAAGTCTTTAACAGTATTTCCACCTGTTTTCCATGCTAAACAGTTCATAGTTTAAGCAGAAAGTAAGAAATGATTGTTCCAACTGTTTGTGAGGGATCAATTGTCTGAGTTCACACAAGGAAAGCATCCTGGTTTTAGGTAATTTCAGTCGGGTAAGAATAATACAGTGTGAAAATCATGTCAGGAACATCATAAATGTTGCAACCCATTTTATACACTTCAGCATATTCATTTCATGTCTAACGCTCTAAGTACATAACTATTATCATACTTTAGACAACAGTTGCTAAACAATATTTATCAAGGAGAACATAACAAAAATGAGTCACATGACAAAAGTTCATATAACTATAGATTTAAACAGTGTTTCCTTAAGGAGGTTTGATCAACCTTGGGCTTCATGTATATCTTTTGAGGTTTTTTTTATCGATTAAAAAGAAAATACTAAAATTGCCATAGCTCACATAACTTTTAAGTGGGAGTTAGTACAATACATTCAGTCAAATCAACAGCATACAATTCTTTCTAAAATACTCCTTTTGATTCAAATTGACCTAAATAACTTAACTTCTGGGATGTGGCAGGATTATCAGAATTTCTCTGATTTCATGAATATAAGAGGAAATAATTACCCTACCCCAAATTGATACTGTCTTTACATATGTTGCCCTAAACAAATGACAGGTCAATAATGTGAAAGTGGATATCTCCAACTATCTGAAGTGCATATAATGATACAGATACAAAACTACAACGATCATAATGATTCCATTGGATTTTATAGATTCATCTATGGCCCATGCATATCATCCAAAATTTTAATTCAAGCTAGCTTTACAAACATTAATAGATGTAATTTGCCAACATCGTAATAGAAAAGAATGCAGATAATAGGGGATTAGGGGAAAAAGATCCTGACCAGAATCATCAAACACCTATATTAACTCCAATGAAGAGAGTAGATTAAATAAACTCTCCTTAATGCTTGCTTTCTAATGTTAATTTTACTAGATCATCTGTGTGAAAATGTGAAAACCTTCCAGCATTTCTTTCAAACTCTATCACAGACAACTGATTATGTGCCATGCATAGATCATTGGACATCAATGAAGAATCTCATAAGGCTAACTCTACAATATTAATGAACCACGCATAAGGGAGTTCACTTGAATAAATAAGATCATCCCTGCAGCCACTGATGCAAATGACAAATGAGGGACAGACTGTTTGACTATTTGGTGTGCTGAGAAAACCCATGATAGGAAATGGAGAAAGGATTTTGGAATGTTACCTTAATATGCTTTATGCATTTATATCATGTTAAAAGGTAAACGTTTTCATACATGAGTTATATTTTTCAGATGGTTACAAGACAAGCTCATTCTTAATGTTATCTTTTGTTCGTCACTAGTGATCATCAATTGTTAGTGGTGAGAAGTGATACTTAAGAGATTGATTAATTGAGTATGAACAGCTATCAACACCGAGTCCAAGGGTGGCTCATGCTAAATATATTAAGGCATGACATTCATGACTGATGACTAAGTGAACTAGTGATGGTTGTAAGTATCAATTTGCTATGTGAAACAAAAGGTTGAATTTCAATTGTTTCAAAAGGTTGAATTTCAATAGAAACAATTGAGAGGAGGTTTATAATCAACTAAACACAATCAACATAAAAACCATGTAAACATATAAAGAAAACAATTTAAGGGCCTATTCTGTTTGGAGGATTTTCGCGGGAATTTTGGCGGAGCTAAACTGTTTCCTGTAAAATCCCTGCGTTCAGAAGAAGCCCTAAGTAATGGGATTATGGGAACAAGATTTCATGCTATCACATGTACACCTAATCAAATAAACCCCTAAATAGCTAATGCAGGATAAGTAATCAACACCATGATGGATGAGCACTCATAACTCATAAGCACACAAACCACCATAAATCATCTACATGTTGTGTTTGATTGGCTGTCTGAACTCTTGAGTATGCCATGGCATTTGGATAAGCTGCCCATAAAATGGATTGACTCGCATGGTGGTAACAGGTCAGTAGGTAACTAATGGTGTTCAGTAGCAATTTAGTATATACTCGTATATTTTATGTGTATGTTAATGTTTGGAGGTAACCAGTCATAGCTGGAATCATTCATTACAGAACACTTGGCACTTCATGGGATCAGCCAAACAACACATAAGGATTGCTCATTCAGAAAATCTAAGCAGTTACTGGAGAAAAAGAATGACATGAGATTCCTCCATTTATATTGACAAACTATCGAAAACAGGGGGGGGGATCGACAAAGTAGATACTCAAGATTTAAATAAAAAGTTGGCATTTATCTGTATTACTGTAGATTATGTGCAATCCAATTGACAACTTTTTAAGATTTACTGAAAACTAAACCAAGTAACACACATCCATTCTACAGGGGGAAAATAAATAACAAGCATCAAATTCTCATACAAACTAGTATCTATATGCCTAGTATGCTAGTAGGCAATTGAGGCATTCCAACTACCACATAGAAACATTTGTTTAGGACTTTATGCACATAAGTGTCTCCACAATACACAAGCATGTAGCACAATAGCACATGCACAATATGTTTATTTCAACCCGTTTATGTTTTTTTTCCCATACTATCATGCCCATAATGCAGCCTATCATGTTCCCATGATTTTGAACTCAAGAACTGATGACACAGATTGAGACGTTGGACACTCTAATTGCCTAATGGATCATCATGAACCTCACACCATAGCTTGCCTAAGTGATTCGACAAATAATAAAAGGATAGTCCAAGAGCATAAACAAGGTACCTTCAGAGCTTCCTCCCGGGCATAACTCAGGTTCTGATAATTCCTGTAATTCTTCATCTTCATCTCCCGATACTGATCCCTCCGGAACACAATCTTCTCCCAGGGGATCCCCTGCATGTCCTTCCCATCCCTAACGTCCTCCACGGACACATCAGTCAGCGGATTCTCCTGCAAAGCAACACAAAAAATAATAAATAAACAGAAACTTAATTCCACCGCATGTGGAACCGCAACCGCAGCAATTGGGAAGCACCAGCGCTGGCGGCGGCGGCGGCGTCGCACCTGGTTGTTGTGGAGGAGGCTAGCGATGAGCTCGTCGTGGTTGGCCGCGCCGAAGGGGTTGTTCTCCCCCTGGTCCTCGATGAGCTCCTGGATGCTCTGGAGGAGTAACTCTAGGTTATCCTCCAGCTCGAACTCGTCCATTCTCCCGACGCCCCCCCGATCCGACCTAGAAATCAACCGCCGCTGCAAACCGAACCAAAATCACCGATCACGAAAACTGCCCTAACAACAACTCCCCCCAAAACAAAAAAAAAATCACAAAATCGGGCCACGAATCCGGGAGCGGCAGCCAAAATCCCCCAAAACCTAGACCAAATTTCTCCAAAGCTCACCTTCGATTAGCCGGACCTCGAGGCGAATTCCGGCGAGGCGGCGCGGAGGAGGATGGGGAATTCGGGAAGTTTTTTTCTTTTTTTTTTTTTTCTCTCCTACCCTCCCTTTTCTTTTTGCGTTTTTTTTCTTTTTTATTAGTATTTTTGAAGGCGGCGACGCGGAGGCGAGGGGGAGAGAAAAGAAAGCCTGATGCACCCAGCGCGTGGTGGATTTTATAGTCGGGATGGACATGGACGCGTGAGCCGACCGAGGCGGCGGATCTGTGGGCCCCGGCTGTCAGTGACCTGGCTGGGTAGCGCGGCCGGTGCGGAAGTTTGGCGGTGCCGTACGGGATAAGAATCCGGGTGGATCTGGGTCGGATTGGATGGATGGCCGGGGTTAAAACACGCCGGCTTCTGGAGTACTAGTAATTTTTTGTTAGTTAAAACAACAGCAAACGTTTTGTTTTGTTTTAAAATTTACTATTTCGGTGTTTCTTCGCGTCAAAGACTCGTGATTCCCTTCGAAGTCTGAACGTATGTAATTTGGTTGTATAGGCTTTGTAAGAGATAATCATATTATTAGTTGCACGATCGTCTCAGTATCACACGATGCGTAAAATATAATATAAATAATGTGATATCTAAGTAAGGAAAGACGTAAATATTATAGATACGGTTCACAATTGCACAGTGGATCATGCCCATCTATATCTATCAGCTCTACAAATGTTTCAGAGTGGTTTCAAGGGGAAATTTAACTATTTGCCACTCTTGTGACATAGCAATTAACGATTTACCACACCGTCTTTATGACATGTGGACCCTCATGTGTCTATGACATGTAGGCCTAGTGACAAATCATTAATCACCACTGGTAAGAGTGGCAAATAGTTAAAAGCCCCGCTTTCAAGTGGCATTTCAAACCAACGTTAGTCCAATAAGCTGAGTATGTTTTTAAGGCATTATTATTTTCTTATAAGAGCATAATAATTAATGGTAGAGTTATCAAAATCATGAAGCATTACACATGTTAGGTCGCACCATGCAGAAAGAAGAAAGGTTTTGCTTTTTGGTTGTGCAACCAGATCAAAAAGTCCTGAAAATGAAAGGCCTTCTTTTAGGGGGTGTTTGGAAACTAGAAACTAAATTTAGTCCCTCTCGTAAAAGTATAAGTCTCTATGGTAGGGACTTATGTTTTTGTGAGAGAGACTAAAGTTTAGCCCCACTTTAGTCCCTCCAACCAAACACCACCTTAGTTTCCAAAATATAATTCATCTTTTCGTGTCTTAAGATGCACGTGCATCTGCGCGGGTTTTCTTTCTAGTTTGAAAATTAATAGCTGGACACACGACCAAATAGGGTCGATTTTATTGCGCGAGACTTTGCACACCTATGATGTAGGCAAATACAGATGACAAAATTACCCACTTAAGACCAAGGCCCAAGGCATGCGTCGTAGGCCCATAAATTGTTGTAGACACATATGCCAAATGCACATGTTCAGGTCCAAAAGCTATTCTTTCCTTCATTCGGCTCAGAATTTGGTTCGTTTAAGAATGAGCGTAGTGGACAATGCATTGGTCAAACAAATTATGCATAAAAACTTTATACATAAAACTTTATATATAAAAATTTATATGTACAAACTTTGTACATTTGTATTTATATTTTGTACTACATATTAACTTTTCCTTTTACAAAACTACATATTAACTTTGTACATATAAAATTTATATGTATAAACTTTGTACATATAATTTTTGTGTGTATAAACTTTGTTCGTACAAGTATAAACTTTGTGCGTGTAAGTATTGTATATATAAACTTTGTATGTATAAATTTTGTATCTGCAAATAATTTGGAAAAAGATGTGCATGTAAAGGATGATGGCTCAAATCTGGCCATGAGAAAAAAAACTTAAAAAGAAAGAAAAATAAGATCGAAAAAGGAATCATACCCGGTAAACGTATATGAGCAGACTGGACTAGCACGCGTGTTTAAAATCTAGCCTCTTTTGTACCAAATATGTGGTCTGAACTCTACTAAGTATGCAGAACAGCAAAGCAATTACTAATCATCTTACCTCTCGAGTTCTGATCTTCTAGAAAAGCAAGTTGCAACTGTCCCTATCACCGCATAAAACTTCAATGATAAGAAGAAATCAATGGCATGAGCAAACAGAGAATAGAATGCAGCCTTTTGTCAGCTTAAAAAAAAAATCAGTGCACGCCCTAACTACTATCTTAGACAAAACTTTTGTGCTCCAAAAATTCATCGCAGCCAAAACAATTGTATCACTGCAGTGACTAATTTTTTGGCTAAAAATTGTAATTTTTTTTAGCGGCCTGAAGTTTGGATAGATTATAAGTGGTTGAGAAGGTAAGCAATTGGGATATATTCAGTTCATACTACTATAATAAAAGTGAAGTCATTCGCCCACCTCCGTCCTCCCTCATGCTCACAACCACCGGCTCTCATGAGAAAACCAGAAAAAGAAACCGAGTAAATGAAAAAAACAATCAGTTCGATCTGGTGTTAGGGGCAGAACCACTCAGGCTCAGCGTCGAGTGCTCCATTAAATTTCTAGTCATTGAAAAGATTGAAAACATAAATCATGTCGCAAATACTACTCATAGTAGAGTTTTGTACACCAGAATCCTCGTGACTTCGGACAAGGAAAGGCAGAGATGCATAGTATTTTAAGTCTTGACATACAGTCGCTACAGTGCTAAACAGGAGAAAACATTGTTCATAGGTACTGTGATATTTTGATTTGGACCGTCCTTCGCGATCTAGATGGCTACAAATCAACAAATCACCCGTGAAGTCAGAGGATCCTGGTCCTGAGTTTACCGGGGCTCGAAAATCTCCATGGCTCCACCACTCCTGATGCTTCCTACTCGATCCACGCTCGCAACCCAGTCCAAGTTGCATGAGCTTCCTATTCCAAATTTCCAATGCACAAGCACTTCTTACAGGGGAAAATGGTAGTGGACTGTACAAGAACAAAATCACTTTCGTGGAAATGTATGTGGGCCTTCTAATTTTGGTATATCTTGGACTGGGTAACTGTTAGGGGTTCGGGATGGGCCATCCAATGGGTTGGTTCTCACCCGGAATAAGTTCACTTCAGGTCCCTTAACTTGACAGCGATTTTGATTTTCCATCCTTGAACCACAATACCATATACATGTTGATGCGAAAAACACACACTGGCCTGGGAGATTTGCTTAGCTCCAGTGTAGGTCCAAATCTTGATGAGATATGGGCGTGCCAGTCAGTTTGATCCTGCAAATGACAAGATATATAAACAACAGATAAAACAGCCGATCGGCTGACAAGCCGATGGAGTAACTCCAGCCGATGCCGATTCCAGCCGATATCAATAGGGTTTTGAGCTATCGGCAATATATCCAATGTAGATAATGAAATAAAGGCAATCGACTGATGATAATCAATATAACAATAATATAATCTAGTATAAACCAATCCGCTAGCAATATGATATAATAAAACAAGCACTAATCCGAAGTTTAAAGCATACATCGGCTGAAGGTCCGATGTCATAAAATCCACAAGATTAGATAAATCAATGAAACCTTTATTGTCATCGGCTAAATCTAACTTATATGTATATGCAATTCTTATAAGCCGATGCAACGTCCAAATAACTTATCGGCTAGCACCCTAATAAAACACTAGCATGAACTTATTGGCTTAACAAGATTTATATTATCAACAACAATCTAGTAGGTTGAACCTAACCGATGCAGCACGAGATTGTATGTGATAATATAATACTCGATGAGCCGATAGATCTATCTAATGTGATTGATATAACAAATCTATTTACAACAGCATTGTAATTGTAGAGATATATCGGCTAAGACAGAACATCAGACCTAACCGAGACAGTTCCAACTAAACCGATGCGTCTCTAAACACAATACAATTAGAGATAGAATTGAGATATCAGGTAGGCAAATATATCAACCAAACCAGAGCTATCCAAGAGATCGAAGCAATGCAGCCTTGAACAATACCAACGTAGCCGATAGATTCACTAGGTCCGGCGGAACGTAGGACTTACCCCTTCGCCGGAGATCGAACTGAACCGATGTAGCCCCGCATCAGATGCCAAATTCCGCCGGTTGATAAGTAAAAACCTCGGTAAAGAGGGTGGTGATGCGCCAAGAGTAGTTGTATTGATCGAGAGATATTTTTACGTTGACCCCGGGTATACATATTTATACCCATGGGTAGATACTAGTCCTTGTAAGACAATAAAGAAACTTTCCTAAAGATAAAAAGAAAACATAAAGTCCTTATCGGACACTAAACACACTTTCCTAAAGATAAAAGGAAACTAATAAATATTGCCTAATTAATAGATAAACTGTCATGCCGCATCCTTCTTTAACTCGGTCTCTTCTGGATAAGCTTCCTTGATTTGATTAATTTCCTTAACCGAATCCTCTAAGAATCCGACTGCTGGCGACTTGATAACTCCCATCGACCAATTCCAAGACTCTGAAGCCGATACTGACCCTAGACCGATGATGACTTCGGACTTACCAAATTCTGGCGTTAACAATACAATGGATCTCTCAACTATCAGAACTAGTGCAATATAGGTCTCAGGCGGACTGGACGTGATTTCAGCTGACGTGGCACCAATGTGGATAATTTGAGAAGGTCTTCATCCGACTTGGTATTGATGTGACACATGAAGCAAAATTTAACAATTTAAAAATTAAAACAGAATATATAGGCCCATATGTCAGTCAAACAATAATATTAAAAAAATATGGGAGCCACATGCTAGTGGGCCACTTCCTCCACCTCATCCTCTCTCTTCTCTATCTCCTCCCCTTCTCTTTTTCCATCTTCCCCTTCTCCTTCCCCAAATGCGACCGGTGGCGCACGATTGTAGTGGTGGCCGGCGGTGGCTGCTCTGGAGGACCGGCGACGAGGGGCCTCCGATGGGCCTGAGCGGCGGAGGAGGAGAGGTTGGAGGCGAGGAAGCAGCACTCTTGAAGCATGTCGTGTAGGCCGACACGCACCGCGCGGAGGCGGCAAAGATCACTCGGCTGCAGATCAGAGGGTATTGCAGTTGCTGATCTGATTATGTGCATCGCCGCCGCCGTAGCTAGCTCAGCTTCTTCTTCGGTGTTCTTGCACCACCGGCGGCCATGGCA